CCCACCCCACACACACACCGTGCACTGACGTAAAATATGAAGACATCTTCGTCACAAAATACATACGGAGTCAGTCACGGGCGCGCCTCGCGCTAGTAGAAAGGGCACCACATAGATTGCCCTTTTTCATGGAAAAAAACGCATTTTTCATGAAAAAAAACGCATTTGACTCCTGCTACCGGGAAGCAGAAACGGTGAGTGTGACCTTGCTCGGGAAATCGATGAATGAATCCGACCGGGGGCTTAGCCGCCAAATAAATAAGCCCCCCGAATCATATGGTTCTAGTATGCACCATATGGTTCTAATATGGTTCTAGTATGCACCAGTACTACTCCCTCCGTTCGAAAATACTTAACATCAAAATGGATAAAAAGAGATGTATCTAAAACTAAAATACGTCTATATACATCTTCTTTTATCCATTTTGATGACAAGTATTTCCGGACAGAGGGAGTACATTGTAGATCAAAGGGTATCTTACTAACACATCTTGAATTAACTACTGTTAATTATATGGACTTGTGGTGAACCCAAATTTGCAGGCACTGTTTCTAGCAAATGTTTGCGTTTCAGCTGTCCTAACGATTGACACACAATTTAAATTTTGGAATATTTGGTCGCTACTCCTACTTAGTAGAGGACGAAAAACAAAAGGGATGAGGTTTCAGCAAGCTGGGGAACAGAGAGCCTGTTGCTGTAACTCACAGGAGATACCAATCTAATTTTGATTGGTAAATAATAATAGTCCAGGTAATCAATTAAAGATATTTGCTTAACATGATCAACTATCAAGTACAGCATAACCTACTGACAATAGCTCACATGTATTCCACATGATAAAGGTTCACATAGCATGACAACAATTACAATGTTCACCTAGCTTGACCATGCCTAATAGCACAACAGATCAGGAAACGACAGCAAAGACAGCAGTATCATCTTCAAAAGATGGACATATCCAGTACCAAGATAGCCGTTATCATCTTCAACAAGCTTCAGAGTTCACACTGCCCAAGGGTCCTCATACCTATTCATCAGGATAGCATCTTCGAGGGAATCAAGGACCAAGCAATAGTAATCTCCACCTCATAGCCACCAAAGTTGCCCTCATGTTTACTTATGTTACATTTTCGGGGCGGGATGAAGAGGACACGAGTACTTTCAACAGACTGCGAAGGCGAAAAGGTCTCCATGAGGACTTTCAACTGTCCGTTTAATTCCACAGAAACTACATGCCTTGTCAGATCAAGGTAGCCAGGTTTAGCCATTCCACCTTTTAAATCAAGAACTACAACTTGCCTAGATGAGGGCCCAGCAATATGTTTATCAACATCCTGAGGTAGTGAAGAGCAAACAACTCGGGCACCATTTGGGAAAGGCAATGATCCAGCTTCAGCTCTAACAAACACGCTTAGGATAGTGGCTTGGACCGACTGTTTAAGTTGCTCATTGCATAACTCCACAGTGCAAAAGCTGTTTTCAGCTACCTGCGGGGAACTGTCACCATTGTAGAAGTAGAATGTACTAATCAATGCTCTATCTTCAGATTTTGTTGCGCCCTTTACTGTTAGTTGGATTTCAATGTGAACAGTCTCCATCGACACAATTGCACGAACCGGGCCAGTCAATCGCAAGAAAGGATCCTATGAGCATCATCATTGCCATTGACTAATCAGCAAGGATTACAGGCAACAAACAAAATATTAAGGGAAGAGAATAGCATTCGTACTTGTTCTGTGAGGGTTTGGCAGGAATTCCTTGTACGAAGGAAGATAGGGTTGCGACAATGGTCCACGGCATCTCGGGCCGCGACCACTCCGTACACATCCAGTGGGAAGTTGATTTTGTTTGTTAACGAGATTTTGATGGAGTAGATCTGCAAGGTATTCCCGGCAACAGCTTCAATTGGGATGCGGCGTGGTGTGCAGTGTGTAAAGAGCATGGGGCTCAATAACGCTGCATGAAAGTCAAGTATGAGTTAGAGATCTAACATAAAGTAACTAGAGTGGCTCATTTACAATCCATTCAAGAAAAATAAAGCAGGATCAATCTAACTACCACTGGATAACTAGCATACATGCATGTTTACTCACTCTGGTCTTCAAAGCTGTTGGTGTTGCCCCATGTACATTCCCAGTAGAGTCGGTAGGCAGTGAATCTCTTCTCCTCCTCCAACTTCTTGGTCTCCATGGAAACTTTTTGGTCTCCACAGCCTTCCCTGCGGCTCTCCTCCAACTTCTCCATGGCTGACAAGAAAGATTCCGATTTCAACTCTACAATCATTGATTTCACTTTCGAATCGAAATCCGAGTCCATCTGCTGGAGCATACTGATGTGTTCAGAGATCAATTGCAATTTGCAGATTCCACGTAGGTAGGGTTCACGGGTAAACATAATCATGGTTTTCATAACATCTTTGTTTTCTGGCGAGAAAGATCTCAGTAATGTGCACATCTCACGCCACAACTCATCAATCTGCTTGGAGAGCAACTGTAGCCTGAAGCCGAAGCTCAGCACTGCTAGTGCCTCCTTCCGGGTCTGCTGCGCTTCTAATACCATAGAAATGTCACCGGCAACTTGTCCGAATTTCAACATGACCTCACTGACGAATTTGGGTAGGGAGGACAGACTGTGAACCTGGCCAACGATCCTCCCCTGGGTCTCCTTTGCGGCCAGATCGAGCAGCTCCTCACTTTCTGCGCCTTCACCTATCCACATCTGGGTTTGGAGTGCGGCACGATGGAGCAGATCCTCGAGTTCCAGGGACGCGGCACTCCTTCGCTTCGACTCCTCACACCTCGTTTCCATCTCACCGTCGTCACCAATCTTGCTCTGGGTCTCCAACGATTTCACACCATGGGTCTTCTGCATCGCGCAGAGCCTCTTCTGGGTCTCGGAATTTGCCTGACGGGAGATCTTCTCAAACAACTCGAGTGCGTCCGATTTCAACCCAAGCAAATTATTGCGAATCGCCGAGATCTCAGCCATCTTGTCTTCCTGGACCTGGATCCAGCGCATACTCTCATGCACGGAGACTCCAGCCTGATAGAGCTCCTCGCTTAACACGAACTCGCCACTACTTCCCCTTGAACTCCCTGCGGTCGCCATCTCACCGTCTGTCGTCTCCCCGCCGCCGCCGCCGCCGCCGCCGCCGCCGGTTTTCGTTTAGGGGGTGGCAAAGGAACCAGGTAGGGTTTTCAAGATACGCTGCAGACGGGCGGGTGTTGATATACTGTCTCTCAGCCTCAACCCGGCCCAGTAGATCAAGTGGTACCTGTTGATATATTCGGTGCACAGGTCGCCACCAAGTAGGAAGCCCTCAACCAGAAAAAGATCGCCAAATAGCCACCCAGCCCATACTGTTTTTTCCCACCAATGTCTTTCTTCTATTTTTTCATTCTATTACAATTTTTCTTTTTCCTCTTTATTTTAGTTTTTCCTTTTCATTTTTATTTTAAAATTCCTTCCTTTTACATTATCGTTTTTCCCTGTTTTCATGTTCCTTTTTCTTTCTTTTTCTTGCATTTTTATTATATTTTTAGGTTCCCTTTCATCTGTTATACTCTTTTATATTTCTTTTTAAAATGATGAATATTTTTCGAACTCATGAACATTTACCAAATCTCCGATTTTTTTTAAATTATTGAACTTTATCAGAACTCGCAAATATATTTCTGAAGAACATTTTTTAAATTATCAATATTTTCTAAAACACACGTTAACATTTTGTGAAACGACCAAAGAAAATTCAAAACATTTTTTAAAATTCAAGAATGTTTTTTACAAACATTTTTTAATTCATAGATATTTTTTAAACTATCAAACATTTTCAGATCGATGAATTCTTTAATTCTAAGAACAATGTTGGAAATTCATGGCAATTTAGATTTTTTTTATAATTTTTAAAAATTCATGAACATATATATGAAATACCGAAATTTTTCAAATTCATGAACTTTTTTTGAATATGTGAATTTTTATTCAAAATCACAAACATTTTTTATTTTTGTGAACAAATTTTTAAATCATAAACATTTTTGAATTCACAAACATTTATGATTTCTCGAACATTTTTTCCAAATTCGCATTTTTTCTGACAATTGTTTTTTTTTCAAGCATCAAATTATTTTAAAGAAGAAAATAAACAGAAAATAAAATGAATATGAAAAAATGTACAAAAAATGTTTACGAATTCGGATGTGTTCACGATTTCAAAAACAATGTGTTACGACTTAAAAAAAGTTTGTGAGTTTGGAAAAAAAGTGTTCACAGATTTCATAATTTTTTCTAAGAATTGGAATAATGTTCACAAATTTTATAAAATCTTTGAGAATTGGTAAATTGTTCACGGTTTTAGAAAAAATATCATGAATTCAAATTTTGTACATGATTTCAAAAAAGTTTACAACTTTTAATAAAACATTTTGTGAATTTGGAAAATACGAAATAAAAAATGAAAAAGATAAAATAAAAAGGGAAAACACGAAAAAGGGAAAAGAAGAAATAAAAATGAAACTATAAAAAAACATAAAAAAACCAAAAAACCGATAGAGGGGGTGTGTGTTTGGTCGACCGTTGCCGACCTACGCAATAAATAAGGATCACGCGTGAGGGAATAGGCCCGAAACGGACACTCTATTTGTCTACGGGTTGGTCCAGACTCGTTCCTGAACATGAATACGGGAGTTGGCCATCCATCAGTGCCCGCTAGACGCCCGACTCTATTTTTTCGAAGTCCGCAATACTCAAAATAATAGCATATCAAATCTTCAATGAGCGAAAATATTTAAATGGGACAATAGTTCAAATGTAAATATTACAATCCAACTAAATTTTGAAATAAAATAGTTCAGACATGAATTTAGCTCGCACATATGTTCCAAACCTCCAACATCATCTTCATCGTCATCCTCTATGATCATGTTATGCATAATCACACAACATATCATCGCCTCCCACAAGGTCTCCGAATCCCATTGTTAGCAGGTCAACGAACAACTACTCAACGGGCTTGGAGCACTCCAAGTGCTCTCCCCTCCCATTTCTAGCTCCTTTGGGAAAAGTGAACTCTTTTCTGAACAACTAGCTTAGAGGTCTTGATGAAGGTCTCTGGATTCCATTGTTAGCAGATCAATGAACAACTACACAATGGGCATGCCTATATGGTGTTGGTTAGCAAACTATTTCCAGACAGCTTGGTCCAGACATTTGCTGGTAATTTGAAGGTTCGCTTTGAAGATGCCCCGAGAACCCAAAGATCTCCAAACAACACTAGTTAGAGGGACTTCTATAAGAGCATCTACAATTGGACTGGCCAAATCTGCCCACTAAGCGTCCGCGGACGCATCCGTACACCGACCCCTAGCAATTTCTTTTTTGCGAGAAAACTTCCAATCTATTCATTCTCAATCATGGTGGTACAAAGAACATCAGAGGTAATAAAAATTACAACTAGATTCGCGGACCACCTAGCGACGACTACAATCACTAGAGAGAGCCGAAGGCATGCCGCCATCATCGCCCCTCCCTCGCAGAAGCCAAACAAACCTTGTTGTAGTAGACAGTTAGGAAGTCATCATCTAAGATCCCATAGGACCAGCGCACCAGAGCAGCAACCATTGCCAATGAAGAAATTCGTAGATTGGAAGGATCAAATATGTAAACACACAAATAAAGACGAATGAAGACCAAATCCAAATAGATCCACCAAAGGCCAGCACCGACCGAATTCCGCGAAATACGATGGGGGCACACCTTCACACACCCTCCAACGAAGCTAGATGTACCATCAGGATGGGGATAGAACATGGGAGACATTATTCCTACTCAGGGACATCACCGCCGCCACACAGCCCCAACCAAGATGCTAAAACCAATAAGAACGAGAATGGGCTCCCTCCCACCCTATGGAGGGAGATAGCTTACTGAAGGAAATATGCCCTAGAGGCAATAATAAAGTTGTTATTTTATATTTCCTTATTCATGATAAATGTTTATTATTCATGCTATAATTGTATTGATCGGAAACTTAAATACATGTGTGAATACATAAACAAATACCGTGTCTCTAGTAAGCCTCTACTAGAGTAGCTCGTTGATTAAAGATGGTTAAGGTTTCCTAACCATTGACATGTGTTGTCATTTGATAACGGGATCACATCGTTAGGAGAATGATGTGATGGACAAGACCCACCCGTTAGCTTAGTATAATGATCGTTCAGTTTTATTGCTATTGCTTTCTTCATGTCAAATACATATTCCTCCGAGTATGAGATTATGCAACTCCCGGATACCTGAGGAATGCCTTATGTGCTATCAAACGTCACAACGTAACCGGGTGATCATAAAGATGCTCTACAGGTATCTCAGAAGGTGTTTGTTGAGTTGGCATAGATCGAGATTAGGATTTGTCACTCCGAGTATATCAGAGAGGTATCTCTGGGCCCTCTCGGTAATACACATCATAATCTTGCAAGCAAATGACTAAGGAGTTAGTCACAAGGTGATGTATTATGGAACGTGTAAAGAGACTTGTCGGTAACAAGATTGAACTAGGTATGAACATACCGATGATCGAATCTCAGGCAAGTAACATATCGATGGACAAAGGGAATTATGTATATTGTCATAATGGTTCGACCAATAAAGATCTTTATAGAATATGTCGGAGCCAATATGGGCATCCAGGTTCCGCTATTGGTTATTGACCAGATAGGTGTCTCGGTCATGTCTACATAGTTTTCGAACCCATAGGGTCCGCACCCATAACGCTCGTTGATGATACAGTGTTATATGAGTTGGTGACCGAATGTTGTTCGGTGTCCCGGATGAAATCACGGACATATATATATATACTAGTACAAATGCCCGTGCGTTGCAACGGGCAAAAAAAACTTATGTAATCATGTATCAACGCTAGCGGACAAAGATGAAAGATAAAGTTTAGCCTACTTAAAATCCTGCAATTTTTCTGCTTTCTTTCACTAAAATATTCGGAGCTACAACGAAGGAAACGGGCTCATTGCCCCGGACTTTGCGCCGCTACGATCCACAACACTCGCGCCATCCCACAAACAGGAGCTTTGCTACGTCAACAAACGATTATAGGCTGGGAAGTGTTACAGGGTGATTAGGAAGTTTTTAATTGGAGGTTTGGGAGGACGCGGGCCCACCCACCTGAAAATCGGGGGGGGGGGCATGTTTAGTTAGTTTAGAAGAAGCCCGTAAAACCCCCGTATGTCTAGCATTTTTGCACGAAACAGATCAGTAGGGGTAGGGCACATGAGTCGGTCCTGTTGGTTAAACACTTGAGCTAATCTTGCTAACATGCTAACTGACGAAACTCATAGAGAAAACATAACAATACCGAAACAACTGCCATGGCAGTGAAATCTGACTAAACTTTTCTAAACCTACCGAACTCGCAAGGTTTGCTCTAACAAAAACCTGCTTCGTGTGCCATTACGCGCCACTCATATCCAACTGTGATAAATGCTGAGATTGGGTTACCCTCGTCTCTGTGAGGTGCATACGCGTGTGTGTTGTCACGGGTTGCATTATCCTTTTTTTGGATCATGGAGTGTTGATACGAAAAGGCCAACCCAACATCCTTTATTGACGCATATTTAAGGCCTGCACTACCATCAGACGAAAGAATAGTGATGCATGAAATAGTCTTTTAGGATGAAACATATAGTGTAATTCATTTAAATGATTTATTGACGCATATTTTATTCTGTAGATTTTTTTATTTGTAAGATTATATTTCAATCCTAATGGTTCTTTTCACTATTTGGGCTTGGTCCAAACGCAAGAAAAAAATGATATTCTCTCATGATGCGTCTCTCACATACTCCCGTTCTAGTACAAATACGTGCATTTGCTCAGTAAAAAAATGCGTTGTGCATGTCCTCCTTTTTGTGGGGGATTAAAAAAATCAATCAGCTAATAGAAATAGCGCTGGTTAGTTCGAGCCGACACGTACACCATCCATCACGTCACGTGTACCTCGCTCTAGAGAGGCCACACTTCAAAGCTTATCCATTCGTCTCTACCTCCACCGCTCTCGTTCTGTTCTATCTCTCCATCTCTCCGCTCTCGCATCCCTG